TTTCTTTTTCTCTCTCTCTTCCCTCACTCTCCCTCTCTCTCTCTCTCTCTCTCTCTCTCTCTCTCTCTCTCTCTCTCCCTCCCCACCATAAAAGTGCCCCATACTACGGTATCATGTCAAAAGCCAGTGATGAAATCCCCCCATGTACATTTACACCCGTACAATCAGCCACGCTAAATGTTCTTGCACAATCTCCCTGTAAACTCGTCTGTCAGTCTGTCAGTCAAACTGGCACATAACGAGATTATGACACATACAGCTTTGCGCGCGCGAGGAATGTTACGGCCTGTTTCAGCTCATTTGACTGAACAAACGTACGCAGAAAGGGTAGAATAAATAATCGCGTGGAGCCAGATGATCATAATCCTGTGGCAGTTAAAATACCTTCGAGATTTCACAAAGAAAGGTTTTTTGTGTGGAAATGTTTTACCTTGATGGGAAGGTAGACTTTGGAAAGTTTACTTTTCTCCCTATCCTTCGTCGCTACCCCCTCTTTCATCCACCCTCTCTCTCTCTCTCTCTCTCTCTCTCTCTCTCTCTCTCTCTCTCTCTCTCTCTCTCGCTTACCTGTCTGAATCCAGTGATACTGTAGGCATGACCCATGTAGAGCCCGTTGCTCATTTTCACCTCTCTAGAAGCAGCGTTGTCGGGTCTCTGGGGGCACACAAGAGCATTTCGTGGGAAAACAAAGAGCGAAATAGGTTGGCCTATACCGAGGCATTAAGTAAGATGATCAAAAATCAGATTATCGTTAAGAAGTACATGTAGAAATTAACTCTCTCTGTATCAAACGCCAGTAAAAATCAAACGCCAATACATTGGCACCTTTTTTCACATCTTTTGACAGTCTGCTGATACTCGTGGCACAAAAAGAATTAACTATTCTATAATTCAAAAACATCGTTGCCACCCTAACACGCTACAAGAAAAAAGGGCGGGGGGGGGGGGCAAAATGGATAATACGAAAAATCAGCATGGTATAACCCTACTTGAAGGGAGCGGCGTTTGCTCAATTGGTATTGTGCTGTGCTGTGATGCTGAGTTTGAATCCCCAAAGGAGCGTTCTTGAACGAGGATTGTCTGGATGGTTTTCAAACGTCTCTACCTACTGACTCGGTTATATTAGGGACGATGTTAGGTCAAAGTTATAGTACTGCATTTTAATAAAGTTACAGTATTGAAAGGGTCGCTCTTCAATCTTGCTCGACTCATGGCCAAGACCAAGATCAACAAAACATCAGTACGAGACCTTCTCTTCGCCGATGATGCTGCTCTTGTTGTTCACAGGGAATCAACCCTACAAACATTAATGGACCTCAATCAACAGCATGCAAGACCTTTAGCTTGGTCATCAGTGTTAAGAAAACAGTCATCCTTACCCAAGAAGGTGAAGAGAAGAGCCATAAATGGCTGAACGACAAGGAACTTGAGACAGTGGACAAGTTCTGTTACCTGGGGTCTACCATAAGCTCTACTACATCACTTGATTATGGGATCAACATCAGTATAGAGGAAAGCAGCAACAACTTTTGGAAGGCTGACACAACGAGCAAGGAAAAACAAAAGATTAACCATCAAAACAAATATCAAGATTTACGAAGCATGTGTCCTCAGCACACTCCTTTATGGATCTGAAACATGGACCTTGTACAGCAGACATGAAAAGCGCATCTACTTTTTCCATATCAGATGCTGCCGCAAGATCTTAGGCATTTCATGGCGTGACAAGGTTACAAATGTTGAAGTGTTGGCACGGACAAAGCTCCAGAGCATGGCAACTATCCTGTGTTTAAAAAGATTGAGATGGTTGGGCCATGTCAAGAGAATGGACGACAACTGGATTCCGAAGCAACTTCTCTAGGGAAAACTTGCACAGGGAAAGAGACCAAGAGAAAGACCAAAATAGAGGTACAAAGACACCTGCAAAAACAGCTAATCTAAGTTTGGAGTAGATGTTAGCATCTGGGAAGAAATAGCTGAGGACAGGAAAGCATAGAGGAAATGATAAAGGAAAGAGCTATACTGCTAGAGAGCAGCCTTAGAAACAACCAGGCTGAGAAGCGCCATCGACGAAAGGAAAACAGCGGAAATACAGAGCTTCGATCTACGACACTGACATGCAAGCACTGAGACAGAATTTGCGCTTCAAACTTATGACGAATTAGCCATGAATTAAGGTGCATGAAGACAACCTTGAGACTATCTTAAGCTAAATTTACCGTCTGCATAGACGAAAAGAACCATATTTTTTTATTTTTTTAGTAGAGAGTTTTACAGCAGTCGCAACTAGATTAGGTCAGATGAGCGCCAAGGGGTGGATGTCAACAGAGAAGTCTTTACAGAGAATCAGACTTACTCTGCTCACCTCTCTA